TAATTGATGCCTTTTAAGTGTATTTATTTATTGGTTCATATAATTCTGCTTTTATTTCTAATTATGTCAGTGTTGGTCCTCCGTACTGCAGAAGCCTGATAATCATATATTCATTCATATCAGGTGTGTTGGAGCAGAGAAACAAGTAAAACATGCAGGACTGCGGCCCCCCAGGACCAGGACTGACCAGGCCTGGTTTAAACAGATGTTTTCAAATGATCGAATGAAAGAAATTTTAATCTAATAAACCATTATTTGACAATTAATCTTAAGTCGATTAATTGTTAGCACCCATAGTTCATATGAAAGTAATTTAGTAAGAATACTGACAACTTTATTTTAATCTTTCCTGTTTTAAAAATAAAATCAAACTTTGATGTGTCAGTACACGTGTCCTCAGATTTGTTGAGTAAAACAAGCAGATTCAAGGTTTTGGGCAGAGTTGTAAAGTAACTAATTACAAATACTTTGTTACTGTTTGGGTATCTGTACTTTACTTGAGTAAATTTTTTCAGCCATCTTTTTACTCCTTACATTTTTTAAAAGACAAGAAGTAGAAAGTTGTTACTCCTGTTTCCTCCCGGCTCGTTACAGTTAAAGAATAAAAGAATAAATGTAAGAGCAGGTTAGTGGTTTGACCCGGAGGATACAGTCAGGGAGCAGATGAACAGGACTGAGCCCAGGAAACCTCCCAGGATGGTGAGCCACTCAGTGGATCCCAGCTGTTTACTGAACATCTGCATCCCAGCAAACACCAGCACAGACAGCAGGCTGGACAGCACCAGGGACGTGCCTGTGTTGACTGCTGCCAAGGCCAGAAACAGGAAATTTAAACACATAAATATATAAAATCAAAGGCATAATATATTGGAAAATACAAAATAAAAGCTCAATTATGGATAGAAAGCAAATATCAAGCTGCATTTTGTTTCCTCGGGTTAACTAATGATGGTTTTCTACATAATTAGCAATGTATTACCTTTATGATTAAAATATATTTGATCTTAATACAACAGAGATATTCAAACACAACGATTTGTTTGCTGCTCCTTTACGCCACGTCAGTGTTCACACACAAACTTATCCGACTTAGCTTAGCTTTAGCTTCATCACGAACAGCCTCACTATCCAACAACTGCTTTATATAATGTTTCACAAACAAAATAAAACCAAACTCACATTATTTATATCTAGAGCAGCATCCGTTTGTAAATTAAACCTTGCTGAGCTATTTTTAACCACATTAATTATCATAAATCATGTTTAAACGTTAGCTACTAGCTCTTTCGTGTTGAAAGTGCTTCCACAGCTATAATTTTTTTATATTGGAATAATTTAAAAACTATTATAAAACACATACCCATGGCTAGAGCTCAAAGTGAATCCTTGCAGTTAGGTGAAACTGAGGAGAGAAGATTGAATTTGTCAGATCGAAACAATTTCACCAGGTGTAGGAACGGAAAGGAGAAAAGTCTCAACGTCCGGACGTAATATCCGGAGGGACCGGTGGGCGGAGTCTAAAGTCAAAACAACCTGTTTGTATGGAGAAATAAGTAATCTCTTTCTTTCTTTTTCTTTCTTTCTTTCTTTCTTTCTTTCTTTCTTTCTTTCTTTCTTTCTTTCTTTCTTTCTTTCTTTCTTTCTATCTGTCTATCTAAACTAATAAAATACCAGCCTGATAATTAGCATCAGTAGTCTGTTTTTATAAATAAATGCTTATTTAAGTGACTCTGATGTTTTTTCCTATATTCTTTGCTTTATTTCAGTGTAATGTTTTAGTAATTATTTTCTATTAATTATTTTCTGACATAAGTGTTATTTTCATTAACGGTGATACATTTATTATAATTCCATGTTTGATTTAATTTTGCCTCTTTCTACTGTATATACAGTACATTTATTGTTTTCTATGGCTTTTTCACTAATCTGTTTCTTATTTCCAACAACTTCAATTATCCCTAAAACCAACTTCTTATCTTAATCCTAATTATTTCAAACTTTATTTGAATATCTTGTCACCCTCTGTAAGAAAAGACAAAGATTTGTACAAATTGCATTTTAAAAAGTAACATTTACACAGAGCATACAGACTGACAGCAGGAAATAAATGTTTGTTTTTGTGAGATGTCACATTTTAACAGTATGTAAAAAAAAAACAAAAAAAAAAAAACCTTTTTTCTCTGTTAGTCAAATATTTTTAAAACTAGACGTTTTGTTGCTGGATGTTTGCAGGTGTTTCTGTCAGGTACCTCCTCTTCAATCAGCATGATGTGTTTTACTCTGAGAGGCAGAGCTGAGTGACAGAAATGTCCTTTAGAACGGTTTCTTCTTCAGTCCAAACACTGCAGTAAACAGGAGGAGCTCCACAGAGGCTGGCAGGACGCTAACGAGACAAACACAAATCACTACATTCAGACTCCAACTCACCACCTCTTTATTCTCTGTAAACACGAAGGCTTTTTGAAAACTTAAAAACCGTTGCAGCTTCACACACACACCAACCTGCAGGTGGCAAAAATCACCCAGTAAGTCCAGCACTCCCACCTCTCAAACACAAAAAAAGACAAGGACACAGAGCCACTGCAGTGGGCAGCCAGAGCTGGAGGAAAATACAGTCAGGAAAAAATAACTCTTTAAAAATAAAAGCCCACAGGTAGAAACACTAACCTGCAGAAGGCCAGGATCCACCAGTAGATGTCACACTCCCACTGCTCAAACAGGAAGAAGAGCAGAGCCACTGAGGCACTGCCATGGACCCCTGCAGCTACAAACCAGTCAGGGAACTCGAACTGCTGACTCAGTGACTTTTTATTGTGTCACGCTTCACAATCATTTACTGTGTCGCGCTTCACAATCATTTATTGTGTGACGCTTCGCAAACATTTATTGTGTCACGCTTCACAATCATTTATAGTGTGATGCTTCGCAAACATTTATTGTGTGACGCTTCGCAAACATTTATTGTGTCACGCTTCACAATCATTTATAGTGTGATGCTTCACAATCATTTATAGTGTGATGCTTCACAATCATTTATAGTGTGACGCTTCACAATCATTTATTGTGTCACGCTTCACAATCATTTATAGTGTCGCGCTTCACAATCATTTATTGTGTGACTCTTCACAATCATTTATAGTGTGACGCTTCACAATCATTTATAGTGTGACGCTTCACAATCATTTATAGTGTGATGCTTCACAATCATTTATAGTGTGACTCTTCACAATCATTTATAGTGTGATGCTTCACAATCATTTATAGTGTGATGCTTCACAATGACGCTTCACAATCATTTATAGTGTGACGCTTCACAATCATTTATAGTGTGACGCTTCACAATCATTTATAGTGTGACGCTTCACAATTATTTATTGTGTGACGCTTCACAATCAAAACTTTCAGCTCATTTACATGAGGGCTGCTATGACTTTTGGTATTTCAGCTATTTATATATTTTAGCTATTTCACTTTTTTAGCCACTTTTTTCCATAGGAAATGAATGGAGCTGTTTTCAACATCCTTAAACTCCTTCCAAAATGTCTAAACCTTTACAGCACCTGACACAATTTGTTCTGGTTCTGCTCTTTTTCATGTTCTTGTGCAAATTTTAGCTACTTTATTTATTTTTTGCTAAGTTTAGCTTTTTTCTGCTATTTCAGCTACAATTCTGCTTCTTTCTGCTACTCTTCTGATTTTTCTACTTTTTTGTGCTTTTTTCCTTCTTAGAGCTGTTTATGCTTCTTACAGATGCTTTCGGCTGTATTCAACTATTTGCTGAAATTTTAGCTAATGTTTAGCTGCTGTTAGCGAAGGTTAGCTTTTCTAAGCTAAATACATATTTTTTGTAGCTATTACAACTTTTTTCAGCTAAGATTAGCAAACTTGTGCCCCTCATGCTAATTAATTAATTTTCAGCTACTTTTTAGCTGTTTTACTGAAAGCTTCAGCTGTTTTAGTTATTTTACTACAAATTAGAATTTTTATGTAATTTTATGACTTTTTTCTGTTTTACTTATTTTATAACTATTTCAACTGGGTGCTAATTTCAAATTGTGGCTGCTACCTTTAGCTTATTTTATGCTCATTTTAGCTACATTACGCCACTTTAGCTATTCTTCTGCTTTTTTCTACTTTTAATACTTTTTTACTGCTACCTAGTGCTATTTATGCTTCTTACAGATGTTTTCTGTTATATTCAGCTATTTTAGCCCTTAGCTTTTAGCTGTTTTCTGTTTTCAACTAGGTTTGTGCTCCTTTTTACTGTTTTTATGCGGTTAGGCTGTTTTGCTTCTTTCAGTTTTTCAAAGTGAGCTCACATTAACACTTTTTCTATTAAATATTTTCAGCTCATTTTCAGCAGCTTTCAGCTGAAGTTTTCAGCACGAAGCATTAGCATTAGCATTTTTGCAGGAAATGCAATTTCTCTAGTTATTGTTTACTTCTTTGTTTATTTTCTAAGCACGGATTCCAAAGAAAAATAAGATTGGTTTGATTAGTAGCTGAACTTGCTGTGTTTTCACACCAGTCAGGGGTCTCTGCAGGACACTGGGAGTTTCTGTGGGGAGTTTGGTAAAACAGTGACTGGTCACATTGACTTGTGGGGGGAGTTAAAATATGAAGTAATGGTAATAGTACAACTATTGTGAACACGTTATGATGAAAATTAACAGTCACATTCAAAAATAGTGATCTTTTTCCAGGTGGGTTAGGGCTGTGTTGACTGTGCGGCGTACACGTGGCGTGCAGCTTTAGCCCCTTCCTCCCCGCACAACAAGAACCTCCCACTCACTGCAGAGACCCTCTTCTGTGGAGAGCAGGAGAAAGACCTTCAAGCAACACGACTGGAAACTGCAGCCGTAGATGTGCTGCTTGTGCATCTTTTCACTATCAGTGGTGTTCGTCAGTGATCAGGGTTAAAGGATACACAGGAGAGCCTGGCTGCAGTTCAACATGGACACTCCTGAAAAGAAACCAGCCAGCTCGACGGCAAACAGACCGAGGGTCACTGCCAGGCCCACCACCAGCCTGGAAACACAAACATGTTCGATTGTGTTCATGTATTTTAAATATACTCATTTAACATTTTACTCACTTCTTGTCCGCGGTGTCGTACTGCTCCTGTGTGAAATCCAGAGGTAAACACGCCTTCACGTTATTTTCCTGTTAGAAACAAAACAATGATTTTCTGGATAAATACCAGTTTGTCCTGGTTCACTCATGATCTTATCACTGAACTAAAACGTGTTTTTTTTCCACATTTTCCTTCTTTTTATATACCTTAACGTTTTGGCTAAACTGAATTTTTGTGTCTTTCTTCAAAAGTATATTAATTAATCAATATTGTATAAAGTATCACAAAGTAATAGTTGAGTAAAAGTACAAGTATCTTACAAAAAAACTGACTTTGGTAACAGTTAAAGTGTCCTTTAGGAATATTACTTGAGTAAAAGTCTTAAAGTAT